CTGTGTGGGTGGGTCGGTGTGTGGGATGGTGGCTGTGTGGGTGGGTTGGTGTGTGGAGTGGTGGCTGTGTGGGTGGATTAGCTGGTGAACTGTTCGGCTTAGCATGGCTTGCCTTGGTTGGCATGGCTTTGCTTGACATGGCTTGGCTTGGCATGGCGTGTCTTGCTTCTCATCTTGAGTTCAATCGCTAAAATGCCACTAAGATCAACAAACACTTACAGCCACTGGGAACTACTTCATTTCCAGAAGGAAATATTATCAACAATTGCAAAGTGCTATTAATAGAATTAATCAATGTACAAATAGAAATAATCTCTCGATTAAAGTTATTAATTGGCAAACCTTACAAACATCGAGCGAAAATTGCGGTGTAGTAATGCCGGAGCTCGAACTGCAGCGTATCTATGTTTATACTGCGTGGCATGAGATAACAGCGCGCTTATCTGTTGTTTTTGTCATGGCTGTTGTCTTGGCTGTTGCTAAGGAACAGTCCTGTGCACTGTTGCATTACTGTTGCTAAGTAATCAGACTGTAACTGCAGGAGCACAGATGATAAATACTTGGATCGCTTTTGTTATATTTGTTGTATTTATCGCAGACTTAATCTTTTTCATCATTCATTTTCCAATCTGAGTAACGATTACTCTTTTATTTGTTAGCAACGCAATTATCCTGTATCGGGCTCCAGCTTTCTGTCTCTGACTCCGGCCTTCCTGTCTCGGGCTCCGGCCCTCCTGTCTCGGACTCCGGCCCTCCTGTCTCGGGCTCCGGCCCTCCTGTCTCGGACTCCGGCCTTCCGGTCTCGGACTCCGGCCCTCCTGTCTCGGGCTCCGGCCCTCCTGTCTCGGACTCCGGCCTTCCGGTCTCGGGCTCTGGCCCTCATGTCTCGGACTACTTCCCTCCGGTCTCGGGACTCCTGCCCTCCTGTCTCGGACTCCGGCCCTCCTGTCTCGGGCTCCGGCCCTCCTGTCTCGGACTCCGGCCCTCCTGTCTCGGACTCCGGCCCTTCTGTCTCGGACTCCGGCCCTCCTGTCTCGGGCTCCGGCCCTCCTGCCTCGGGCTCCGGCCCTCCTGCCTCGGGCTCCGGCCCTCCTGTCTCGGGCTCCGGCCCTAGCTCCTGTCTCGGGCATCAGCCCTCCTGTCTCGGGCTCCGGCCCTCCTGTCGGCACCAGCCCTCCTGTCTCGGGCTCCGGCCCTCCTGTCTCGGACTCCGGCCCTCCTGTTTCGGGCTCCGGCCCTCCTGTCTCGGGCACCAGCCCTCTTGTCTCTGATTCTAGCAAGTGTATCTATTATATCGGGTAATTATTTCTTCGTTATAAGATGTATCACACGATATGAAAATTTGTATCAGTCGCGTATATTTCCTGCATCTGATTATACGTATGCAGAACCCGTGTATCCACCTATACCGAACACGTACAGTAAACTATACTGTATTGCATCGACAATACCGTAGCTGAGAAATATTTAATTACAATAAAAGTACCTAATCACAAATTTCAGTCTATGCATTTCATGAGTAACTATCACTCTCATCACTTAGCATGCAGATATTCTACTCATCGCCGTGGCTACAGTCGCCTAAAGACCACAATCAGTTCTTTGTCTTTCACTCAGAAAAATGTATGTGTTAAAATCTCCAAATATTGACACACTTTCAACACGTACCACTGTTGCGCTCTTTTTGACCGCCCCAAACAAGGCCAGGATTAACAACTGAAAGTCGGTCATCATGAAGTTTAATTACAAGTTTAATACGTTTAATAGTTTAATAAGTTTAAAGGCTCGTATGCTCGCTGCGTCTCGCCAGGTATAACTGGTATATTCAATATATATAACATTAGCATAGTTCCCTATCAACTTCATTCAAAATCGGTCTGCAAGTCAGTTAGTTCTTAGAATTGTAGTTGTTTTTAGCCTTGCAATTGCAGCTGTTGATTTACATATGCTACAGAAGATCGTCTCCAACTGCGTTAAGGGATTTTATAAAATGTAAACCTTAGAATTGTGTCCTGAATGTATTGTGAATATGTATTGTCCTATATCCTGAATATGTGGGACTGTGTCCTGAATATGTAGGATTGTGCGCTGAATATGTAGGATTGTGTCCTGAATATGTAGGATTGTGTCCTGAATATGTAGGATTGTGTCCTGAATATGTAGGATTGTGCCGAGAATATGTATAGTCCTGTATCCTGAATATTCATTGATATTCCCCTCATTACGGAAATATCAAGTAACTTCTACATTATAGTTAATTTCTTTCAAAAAACTTGAATGCACATGTTCGCGACAAAATTATGACATTAATTATATTTTCACTAGTATAAATTAACACTATTATACTTTTTTAATGCTATATTGTAGCATTTTAAATTTTAATTCTTCATTCTTTGAATCATTACTGATGGTATTTATTTATCTAAATAGGATGTGTACACGATTATTTTACAGCCAGTCCCTATAATAAGCAGTGGCAATAATTGGCACTGAAGGCCCTTTGTACGGAACGCAGCGGCGGAGTTCTGACCAGGTGTTGGGGGGGCGGTATTATGATCATTAAGACATCGCGCGACCCGATGCGTGTAGAAATAAATTGAATCGTGTCGAGACTCGGGCCGACGTGTAATGTATACACCAATACAATTACACGTCTAGACATAGACGTGTTTATTGATCCATACTTTAATGTTGCGTTTCTTAATCCATTCAAATTAGGTACGTAGTTAATTTTGCTTCGTATTTCAAGGTTGTTATTTGAGCTCAAGTTTATGCACCGGATTTTATCGCGCACCGTTACTTTTTTTTCAAAATGTTCTATTAACCTACTTCGGTGAAATAATTAGAGGCCAGCAGCGTGTTTTTGATTACCCAACATAAGAATATCTGAATAGTCTTGCCCTTAAAAAGTTGTTTAAAATCCTATATCTTTGTTGTCTAGAATATTCCATATCTTTCCGCAGTTTTCATTATAGTTCTATGAATCAATTCGTGCTCGAACAAAGTATAGCTTCGCACCCTACATGGTCGCTCCAGGGTTCAACGATAACGAATGAATCCGAATGGCGACCACGGCACTGACTGCCCCGCCTAGGATCACTGATACTCTAATATCGAATTTGGTTCAACGGATCTCATGGTATCATATGATGATATTCGTACCTATAAAGAACTATTGTACCGATGGTATGGTAATATGTGATATTCCTACATAACTAACTAGTCTACGGAAGGCGAAGTAACATTTATTAATATTTTACCCCACAAGTTTTACGTATATGTAGATCGTTTGGAATGGTGTAATTTGACGATGTTCTTACGAAAATAACTTGTAACAGAAGTTATCTTTATAGGAGATAAGGGTGACGGTAACCAATCATTCCTGCTGCTGTGATTACTTATAATTTTAAATTAGCGGAATTTAGATGACATGTTGTACCTGGTGACACAAAATCTGCGCCGCGCAATGCCGCCCCTTCGATCCATTTTTGTTGTTTTTCTCCGTGTAACTAATTCAAACGCCCATTAATATGCCCCTATGTTCAGACGAGTTTGCTCTTTAATCTATTGCGTATATCATATTCATGTTATGTTTATGCTGTGTTGTGGTCTCGTTGAACACAAGTTTCCCCGTGACATCGATGGCTAAGCATTGCACAAGATTGTTGTTCTCGAAATTTCCGTCATAAAATTCTTATTTAAGTGACTTCAACATCTAATATATGTTTATGTTCTAGGTAAATATTCTCGGTAAGTATTAAGATCATGAATTACGTGCTTTGAACTTAATAACTATCGAAGTACATGTGTATACAGGTACTGAATTGGAATTTTCTGTCTCATGAATGTTTGATTGTCATGTACTTTCATCTATTATTTCTCGTAAGAATATTTTTTATCACATTATTGAACGAAAATAATGGCCTAGAATCATTCTAAATAAATTAATTGTGAAGTAGAATTAATAATTAATAGAAGTATAATTTTATGTATATTTAGCCGTTTAGGCCTATTATCTAGTCCTGCAGTCGAGGTTCTTTATTTTTTTGCCAATCATGAACCCAAACTCAAGCGTGTGTTGTAAAATAAATCAAAGTATCTCACCTTCCTTCGTACCGAAGCAGTCTGCTAAGGTGTCAAAAAATATAAAGCACCCAAAGTATAACGGTATAAAGCAACCAAAGTATAAGACTATAAAGCAACCCATGCTTAAAAATATAAGGCAACCCACGTATCAAAGTATAAAGCAACCCACGATAAAAGTTTTAAACAACTACGTATAAAATTTTAAAGCAACCCACCTATAACAGTATAAAAGCATTCCACGTATAAAATTTCAAAACAACCCTCGTATAAAAGTATAAAAGCAACCCACGTATAAAATTTTAAAACAACCCTCGTATAGAAGTACAAAAGCAACCCACGTATTTTCCTCCACTACAAGACCACCCACAACAACATTTACGCTCCCTGGCCCACGAAACGCAACTTGAAACGCGCAAAAAAAGCGTTTCCACATCGCAGAAAATCTTGGAACTCCTCCGTTGGCGCTGCAAAAAGCCTGCCTCGGGCGGCGGTTTTAAGTGCACTGCATTTCAAACGCACCTTTGATCTCCACCTGCATTGCTTGATTCTAATGTAATAATAATTATGTAAGATATTCGGACTCATTATATGAGAGCTTGCAGCTCTTATTATTTCTTACAAGTGCAGTGAATAAATGTAGACCTTCATTATTTTTAATTTTTAAATACCTGTATATATATAACAAATTTTGGGGTGCATTATACAAATATTGTGCAGGATGACAAGCATTTCTGTAGAATTGTTATATTTCATGCAGCGTATTATTTCTCTTAAAATCATGCACCTATTTGTGGTGTACAGTTTCATTTTCAAATCATAATGATCGAAATAGTAAAAAATACATTGTCGGAAGCACAATGGCTTGAAATTGTTACGACCTGCAAGCAACAACTTAGATGTCTCGGACATGCCTGGGAAATACTGGCGTATATACGACGTTTGCTTGCCTGCACTTAATTGCTTGGTGAAAAAATTAACGAAGTAACGCACCTGACCTCATGACTAATCTCAATAACTATATGTTAAATACAATATTTGAAACCTAATTTTCTCTCCTAAACGCGAGTTTAATGTCATCTTCTAAAGCCTTCATATTGAGGTGGAGATTTAATGCCCCAAATTCAAGGCTTGGAGAGAGAAGAGTTTGTCCAAATAGCGTTGTACGTTTTAACGTTGTGTGGGTTATTCTAGTCCAGTTCAGCTCGGCAAAAGAGCATATCAGTGCTATAAAAAAGTAGTCAATATTTATTCAATATGACTCTTAAATTGTTCCGAGTGTAGGAGACCAACAAACTACAGACGTGAAGCATTCGAGACGACACCGCGCAGAGCAGCGTGACACGATGTTGATCAAACAAGCAATGATACTCTCTGTGATGGCACGACAATTACAACATCACCTATCACTCGCCAATGCCAATCTTGTCTCGGTTCGTGGTATTCACTCGGCCAATCATGGCTATTGGCTCGGGCAATCTCAGCTCGCCCAAAACTGAGAGTCATTCCAAGGCTCCATGCCAAGGTCGAGATAATTCTTCTTGACAGATTGATTGGGACTTGGAGGCGATCAGGATGGTTCTTCTTGTGTATATAAAGAGAAAAGCTTACGTTTGTTTTTTTTCTGTTCAAACATGGTCAACGGATTTGATAACTTGAATTATATATAACAACTTTAACCAAAGTATAGCGAACTTTGAGTTTGTTTCAACGCTTTACTTATTATTTGTGAAAAAACGGCAACATTTTACCTCGTTAACAAGCTTTCAAGTATAGGTTCTCGTCAAAGTTAAGTCCTTTTTTGTCTAGCCGATACACTAATAATTTTATGTTGTCAGTTTTGTTTTTCATTTTTATTATAGAAGTTACATTTTTGGCGTCGAATAATTGAGATTACAGATCGTGTACTTGTCGGAAAACCTTTAATTTTTTCACCGAATAATTTAATAAATTTAATCGAATACATTGTGTGTGTTAAACAATGTATTCATCCGATGGATAAACAATGTATTCATCCGATGGATAAACAATGTATTCGTCCGATGGATAAACAATGTATTCATCCGATGGATAAACAATGTGTTCATCCGATGGATAAACAATGTATTCATCTGATGGATAAACAATGTGTTCATCCGATGGATAAACAATGTGTTCATCCAATTTGTCTGCTTATCAGCACATTCAGGCAACATTCTGGTGTTCCGAAATCTTAACTG